TGATTTTTGGGGGGAAGGTAGCGGTCATGGTTGTAGGTGGCAGCTAACTATGGTGTTTATGGGGATGGTTGGACCTTGATGCCGGCTAACGGTGAATATGAAAGTGGTGGTAGTGACAGTGGAGAGTCCTTTTTCTTCTCTATTTTTTAGGATAATTTTATTCACACCACATTTTAATTGCAAAGGACCCCATTATTTGCTCATTTTTCCATTTATGTCTTCTACTTTTTTTTCGTCGCATTTGTATCTTTAACCTTCAAGTAATTAGCACATTATGCCTATGATGACGAATTATCTCCTAACGCGCATTGAAAAAAGGGAAAATATTTCGTCAAACTTTTGTATTTGTTGTTTATTTTGGTTATTTGTCATAAGAGACTAGATGTTCATATTAATAGAATGTTGATGAGAACTTGAAGAAAAAGTCGAGGACATAAGTGAGAAAATGACCAAAGGCTAGGGACATCCATTGCCATTAAAATGCGGTGTAGTTAACAAAAATTGTGGTATGAAAATAATTACTGTTTTTTAATTCTTTATTGAAATCATTTATGTGTTTACCCATATTGCCCAATTCCACTAAGGAAGTAGTCAAGTAGGATAATGTATTAGCCCATTCTCGCTGAAGTTATATTATAACCTAACGCTATTTATTTATTTATTTATTTATTTTTTTTATGCAAAAATTTGAGTTTGGCTCTATAAACACAAAATATCCCTGATACATATTCCTCTTCCCTCTAGAGTCCTAATAACAGGCACATTGAAAATAATTTGTAAAACAGCTCCATCTCAAAATATTATTTATTATCAAATCTTAATTCAACAGCAGACACCCAAGTATCCTGTGAATTAACATAATCTCAAAACATCAACCCCAAACTACAAAGAGATCGTCACATCTATTTTATCAATCCCCTGGACAATTTTACATTTTTCTAATCTAGCGTTTCATTCAATGTAATGATTCCTCCGCAGTGTAAGCTTGAGTTTATGAACTCCATCATCACTCAGTTCAAAATCATAAATTAAAAATTCCGTTCACAGAGCAGAAAAAAATTACAACAATATTCTAACAATAACTCTACTAATTGAAACTTCCAACAAAAACAATAAAATTTATTAGTATAAAATATGGGACATTGTGAACATACAAATTTCAAAGTTAAACCGTAAACCAAAAAGTAATTTTCAAGTATGCAAAAAGGTCAATTATCCATAATCAAATTTCA